GTTGTCGACCTCGGCGTCGCCCGAGGCTCCAGGTGGAGCCATGGCCATGACCGTCACGAACGGGTGGTTCGGGTCGCCATTGACACCGGTGTGCGCTCCACTCGGGTACATGCCGTAGGGACCACTCGGCATATTGCTGCCTCCCGGAAGACGCGACTGGATCAGATGCATATGTCCTGGCGGTAACTGGGAGGCCACTGCAAAAGGCGGCATTGCTGACGCCATTTTCATCGCGAGTGCATCCGGCGTCGGCTGAGGGGCAGCGTACGACGCATTCGATGTCTGCACGGGCTCTGGAGGAGTCAACGACGTTGTCGAGAGCGCAGGCAGTTTCGTCCTCGAAGTGCCAGTGGGCTGTGGTGCCTTTTGGCTCGAGGGGCTCGTGCGGGGCGAGTCCATTTTACAATGTGAACAACGTCTCCATCATAACAACGAACGTAGTCGAACGTGTCGGATGTGGTACACAGGACGTACGTGAGTAACGAGAGAGATAGAAAGAGGGAGAGAGAGCACGAAATGAGACAAGTAAAGAAGCTGAAGATTGATCCCGAGTGGTAAAACGCTGCGTAACTGATTAGAAGAGGCAGAGAGCCAGCGGCATAGCGAAAGCAAGAGAGAGCGAGAGAGGAGGGAGGACGAAAGCGAGAGGGCGTCACTACGTGACAAGCTTTTACGCAAACCCATATGGTGCGTGGCTGTCGTCCAGTCGTTCTTCGCGCGTGGCCGTTGTCGCGGTGTCGCCGCTTCTCCTCCGCCGTGCGTGGGAGTCCCCCCGTACCGCGTGCTGTTCTTTGGCACAGACGACGTGTCGCTCGCGACGCTCCAGTCGCTGCATACCAACAGGTCGTGTCTATGTCCGCCCTTTTTTGCACGAGTGGCTGTTGTGCGACGAGCTCATTTACGTGCGCCGTCTGTGGCTGTGTGTGCAGCACGAACGAGCGCGACGGCGGCCGTCTCGTGGAGCACATTGAGGTCGTGTGTCCGTCCAATCGGTCCGTGAATGGCTGCAAGACGGACGAGCCGGTGCCGGTCAAGAGGTTCGCCCAACGCTGCGGACTCAACGTCTTTGACACGCCACCGCATCTAAAGTCGCTCAAGATGTGGGACTTTCCTGTGATGGACTGCTTTGATGTTGGGGTCGTCGTGTCGTTTGGCTACTTTCTAGTACGTTCGTGGATTGCGTTGCGATCGACGGTCGCAAGCTTGAGCTTAGCTGCTGACACTGCTGACGCGTTCGTGTCTGTTCGTGGTGATGACTCGTTTCTTGTAGCACCCGAACATGCTCCGAAATCTTCATTATGGTGCTATCAACATGCATCCATCGCTATTGCCAAAGGTATGGAAGGGTGAACGCTGCGTGAAACTGGACGCAGTGGATGGGAGTCGCTGAGCTCACGAGCTTTTTCTCGTGTTGGAATCGTTTGGCTGTATGGGTAGTACCGCGGTCCTGCTCCCATCCAACATGCGCTTCTGAATGGCGACACGACAACAGGGGTGTCCGTGATCGAGATTGATCCGACGGCCTTTGACGTTGGCCGCATTCTGCTGCAGACACCTCACGATATCAAGCCCGGCATTCAGTGCCAGGAGTACGACAAAGCTACTGCTGCTGCTACTTTGTGTGCTGAAAGTGCTGGCTAAGCTATTTCGTTTTTTCGTGCTCGATAGGTTGACGCGGGAACTTGCAGTGCTCGGTGCGGATAGCATCTTGAAAACGCTCGCTGATTTGCCTGCACGTAAGAAGGAGGCTGTTGTGCAGGACGACGCATGCGCCTCCACGGCCCCCAAGCTCGTGTCCAACGATGGTCACATTTCGTTCGACGAATCTGCGACCGTCATTTTTCACGTACGACGATTGTCACGTGCTTACTTCATTGCGTCATACTCGCTAATCATGTCATACATACCTACGTACTGGTTCACAAGCGATGGCAGGCACTAGGCAATTCTGTGGGCATAACCGTCCAATTCCGCGATAAAGTGGTAAAGCTGATTGATGTCCGGCTACCGACGACGGAAGAGCTGCAAGTTGGTGAGTTTTTATGCGATGTAGACTCGACGTGAGGTACGAACGCTGACAGCGTGCCGCGTCGTGCTTTCGTTACTCAGTCCTTGCTGACGAGAGCTGCAACGGGCCAGCAGCCACTGGGACATTTTTCTTCGAGAAGCAACGGCAGGCGCTTTGGCTACGATGTTGCAGGCGATTCGTGGTTGTTGATCACAAAGCTGCAACAAGCGGGTCGCAAGGTCGGCTTTGCGCTCGATTTTTGCAATGGATACCGGCTGAAGAGCATGCAGCGCGAGCGATTTGAGAAAGTGGCTACTGGATCTGTTGCCAGCAAGCTCTAGAAGCCAAGTCACGCAGGTAGGCGGGCGAAGGCTAAGAAGATGTGCAAGTTGTGTTTCGTATTTGAACGCATGGCATCTTTCGATCGGTAATAAAGGGACAGTGCACACATGCGACTCTGTCGTCAATAGCGCCACTACGAATGTTCAGACGTGTCGTTGTAAAGGCACTGCGGCTTTGAACTTATTGCGCTTGTGACTTCGCTGAGGGCTTTGCAACACTTCCTGCTTGATCCACCGATACATATGGGGATACAGACGATTGCGCCGTCGTTGCTTGTCGAAATTTGCGCCCGTCTGTCTTTTGGCGCACAATCGCTTCTATCCCAGATTCCATCATACTTCCACAACGGGTTCGCCAGCAAAATGTCACGCGTCTACCTTGTGTCCTCCTTGTATGAAGGTAAGGAAGTGCAAGCTTTGATACTGAGTATTCAGTAGCACTCTTCTTGGTGGACTCAGTACTAGCAGACCTGCTTGTTAGACGTCTTTCGATGTGTACGACCCATTGGACGTACATGTGCGTCTACGCTTGTTAGACTGTCGCTTCAGTCTTGGGTTCCTGCGGCGCACTTTGGAAGAAATGGTTCCAAGTGTGTGCATGCTGCGTTGTTAGCGTTGGTATGCAGAGCATGAACCTCCGAGAACCTATAGCGGAGATAATGCTCTGTCTGTCAAGGGCCGTACTGGAGCGATCGCATCCTCGAATTCGTCGAGTTGACTTGACATCCCTCACCTGCGCAGACTCCGTCTTCCGCATACTACGATCTGCAACTATGATGCCACTAGAAACTTGCTTAGTGTCGGTTGTACCAGACCCAGCAACAAAGTCAGTCGCTTGATGCGCTAAGTTGCATCGAGTTGTCGAGCAACAAGGGATTCGAATGCGACTCCTGCAGCCACAACTTTGGCAGTTAGCGCTAGGATCCCCTTGTTATCTGCAGATGTCAGACCCAGACAAAGTGATCGAGTGAGCATCCGACGTTCGATGCTGGTACCAAATTACAAAGCATGAGCTCTCGCAGGATAGTTTGAGCTCGAGCTCTACAGATACCTGAGCTCGAGCGCACATGTTGCTTACCATGACAACAAAAGATGCAACGACGATGCTACACTGTCATGCTCACGAACTATCGTCGATAACAACGACTATCGACGGTAACAAATGTACGAAAGCTTTTGGCACGCCAAGAACCATGCCAGTTGCAAGCTCGCTTAGGAAAGGTTGCCACAACAACATGATGCTGATGCGCGCTGGCAGAGGTATCAACTGTCTATCTGCACGTACCAGAAAACACGCAGGAAGCGGCCTCCCTAGTCTAGATATCATATTCTAATCTACTCGATGTTCGGCGTTTGAGCTTTGCTACGACTTTGTCATTCGTGTCCGCTATTCCTGTCCTGTCGCGAGCTGTTGGCATCGGAAAGTGACGATTCTCATCAACTCAAATTGTCGGCCGAGATAGCTGCAGCGTATGCAGCTCGCATCATCAGTGTGGTGTCAATTGCAAGCCGCTGGGCATCCCCAGGAATTCGTACTGACTCGAGTACGCTCAGCGCTGACGGATTCGATCTTTCAACACTCCGACGTGCTGTCGTTACATTTACTAACTTCGCAGCACTCGCCAGCGCGCGAATTCCTCCTCTTCTTCACCGGAGGGTCTTGTGGCAATCCGGGGCCTGGTATTGCCGGCTCCGTTATAGTCCTAGTACAGGCCCGGACACACGCTGCTCTTGTCGTGCGGACAGCTAGCATAATACTTGGGCCATCAACGATGGCGAACAACATGGCTGGATACTGTGGCCACGCCCTGCAGCAGACGAAATCCAGTGGTTGTGCACCTCTGCTCGTGATCGGAGACAGCGCCATACTTGTCAGCCAGCGATGGCCTTCGCTGCAAACGTAGCGATCGATAATACCGAAAACTCAATTCAGGTCACACACCAAAACCCGGTGCATCGACCGAAGAATCCAAGAATTGCATCAGCTACGACGTCACTCGTTGGCTCGAGACGCCGATCAACGCCAACATCAGGCAGGCTACTCGCAGCGCGCAGTCCTTTCGTGACCGGGCAATAGCAAGCGGCAGCTCTTAGTCATACGGTTAGCTCTGTGTGTTGTACTCCACTGCAAGGTGCTAGATGTGGTATTCCTCAGTAGCTACTCCCCTCTAGTCAGGGTATGGCTGGTCGCAGTCGAATCTTATCATGTACTCAAATTGCAACAACAAGAAGAAGAATGCAGCTCGCTTCGTGACAGGTGACACTCACAAGGATCTAAGACCCGACTTGGATATGTCAGCTGACTTACGATCGATCAACTAACTGACTTGGGATCTCATTTTCGACTGCCCGATACGATTTTTGACGAAAGAGTCGCAATCGTGTTTTGGACGCCAATGACAATGACGTTTTAGCACCAATCATCGTCGAGATTTGGATGCCAGGGCGCTCTTCGACACGAATGAGGCCCTGCAACAAGCGGTTTGACTCAACTTTGGCCCACGAATTAGCAGTCGCCGAGCCACGATTTATCGACGCACGCACTTTTGCTGCATCTGGATACGGGTTTGCATTTCAGCCAATCGCACTGCGAAACGTAAGGCCACACCCCCAGCACGCAGCTCGGGACAGACAATTGAGCACGCGGCGCCATGTACTCGGTCTGGACGCGCGCGAACTCCGTGTTCTTCGGGTCGCTCACGGCGCTCGCAATCATGTGCGCGCTCACGGCCTTCAGCACGTACCTGCACGAGTCCGCGCCGGTCGTGCGCCGCCTCGACCTCGTCAAGCTCCACTCACTGCGCAATTACCGCGACAAAGCCGACCGCGCGACGCTTTCGTTCGCCCTCGACGCTGGTGCGGGCCGTGTCCGGGTGAAGTAACTCTTGTGTACCATTGGCGGTATGTACTGACGAGTATTGTGTGGTGTGCATTGCATGTTTGGTGGCCACAACCAACAGACCTGAGCTCGGTGTTCAACTGGAACGTCAAGCAGCTGTTCGTGTACGTGGTGGCCGAGTTCGCGAGCGCCAGCAACGCCCGCAACGAGGTCGTGATCTGGGACAAGATCGTGCAGACGAAGGAGGACGCGGGCCTCCTGCAGTTCCAAGAGGAGGGGGTCAAGTACTTCCTGGCCGACCAGCACGACGAGCTGCGAGGGGCCAACGTGACCCTCCGACTCGAGTGGGACATTATGCCCGTGTGCGGTCGCATCTTTGTGCACACGGGTGCCACCAAGGCCAACTTTGCGCTGCCGGAAGAGTACCAAGGCAAGGCGCCCAAGACTGGTGGACAATACTAGAGATCGAGGGAGGGTGACAGGCAGAAGGGGGGGAGGAGAGGGATTGGACGGAGAGAGGAGACGCAATGGACGAAGCAGCTGTCACAAAGAGCCATGTCTGCTTGCAGTGGCTGTCGGTATTGGTAATGGCAAACACGCATCATTCTACTTGCTGCGGCATTCATTTGTGCTCAAAGCGGGCGCGCAGAGCTGCGACACCTGAGAGCGTTTTTGGTACCTTCTTTGGCGCGGATGGAAAGTCGTACGATACTGCTGCCGGAGACAACGACGTTGCCCCAGTAGCGTCACTTCCGGTGCGGGGAAACGCCACGAAATCAATCTTGCCGTCCGAGTTCTCTTTCCGCCTCGATTTCATCCGCGCCGCCATCATCTTGATCTGGTGTGTAGGATCGACGGTATTGCGACTTGCATTGATCGCCTGCTCGGTCTCAGCTCTCAACACGGACGTGTCAATGCTCGCAACAGACCGCGCCTTGTGCAATTTCCGATGTCGCCTTCGTTCCGACTTTGCACCTCCGCTCTCGTCCGTAGCTAGGCCGGATTCGTGCCTCGAAACGTGCGAGTGCGTCCCATGTGTAGGTGGCAGATCGCCAGCCTCTATTCGAGCAGTCATGAAGACGTTGTCGCTTGAACGGTGTCGTAGCAAAGGACCCGCAGAGGTCGGCGGACGGCCAGGCGGTAGTGGTGGCTGTCTAGACTCCATCCTTGCGGGTACATGTACTGCCGTTGCTGCAGTGGATGCCGCCACGCCCTCTTCCTCCTCCTCATGGATGCGAAGACTTAGAGGTATGGTGCGCGCCAGCCGTAATTGGTCGTTAAACTTGCGCGAGTTCAAGTTCTTGCGACGCTTCGTTACCTTATCCTTTTGCCTCTCGCTGGACTCCGACGTGTCTTCGCCAATGCCCAAACGATGGCCCGATTCGTCTTCTGTCGAAGTACCGGATGTCCCGAACAAATTCTCCCATGATTCGTCACCGTTCTCGCCAACGACTGTAGACGCGATCGTTTTCATTTCCTCAAAATCACGCACACTGCCAGCGTACGATGCCGTCATTGATCCCTCCATTATCGTCGTGGCAGTCGACGCGCTCGATTCTCTACGTTTGCGACCAAACTTTGACACATTGCCGTCGAAATCAGCATCACTACTTCCACCATCACTTGAGAACGACGGCCAGTCCGGCAGAGTGAATGATGTCGGGGGGAACTGCACATCGGCAGTTCGTTTAGCGGGGACCCGACTACTACTGCTACGGTCAGGCTGCCGACCATCACGTTCAAAAGTATGTTGCCAGTCGTCGTCGTCATATTCCATCGGCTCTTGTCGCTTCTCCTCGTACTCATCCTCTTGTGACCGGTCCAGAACCATGCTCCGAACTGATGAGTATATACTGATGCGCTGCTCTTCGCCCAGTTCGTATGCAAAGCACACGCTGTGCGCGTACTGAAGAAGCTGTCGTCGAGAGAAGCCAAAGCTGGAAAGATGATATAGGTAAGCCGAAGCCTGCCCATAGATGACGTTGTGCACGTCCAATACCTTTTGTGCGCGTTCAGCATCGGCCAAATAATACCATGGCGTGTCCATCGGCGCCTTGTTGAGCTCCTCCGCCACACTTTCCAACAACGCATCGCCCCAAAACATACCCACGCGCCACGCCCCGTGGTCTTTCAGCGCTGCATGCAGATACTCCTGGCCATCCTTGCTCGTCTTGCGGTAAAAGGTCTGCAGCATATTCATGAGGTGCATGGTCGTACGCGTGTCATGCTGTGCAACACAAGCATCCAACAGAAAACGCAACGCTGCGGCGAGTCGAGAAAATCCGTCGCGTGAGAGCTCGCGGTCGTGCACTCGCTGGTGTCGAAGGCAGTCTAAAATAATGCGTCGCACGACCCCAAGGCGATACACTGACTGCGTGCCTGAAGCTGACGCATCTGTGAACTTGCTGCGGTGTTTCAGTGATGAACTAGTACCGGAAGAAGCTTGTGCAGCATGAGAAACGAGAGCTGCCTCTGGCTCGATAAAGCAACTGGAGACAAAGTCCTTGATAATCTCGACGTCCTTCTCAGACACGCCCAAAGTCTTGAGCTTTGCGAGTTCTTTAGACGAGCGCGAACCTGTCAAGCAGCTACCTGGCTCAGCTGACTGCCGCAACTGGTGTTCGTTGCGCCACGACACACGATGCCATTCCATCACACTCAAAGCCTTTGCATGGCGGTGCGTCAACTCTGGTGCCATGCTGTCGACAATGTACTGCTGTACGACAGAGTTGCGGTCCATTGCCTTGAGCGTGTTTTGCAGATCCGTCATGACTTCAATCTCTGCCTGCAGAATCGCGACTTTCGTCTCGACAAACTGTCCAATGACAATCAACAGCGTATCCAGTCGGTCTTCCTCCACGCTCTGCGACAAGTCCGTCGCTTCCTCCACCACTTCATCGCGCCTTGCAATGGCCCGTATCAACGCACTACGTGCGTCGTCGTACTCTACCCCAGCCGCTTCGTCTTCCGCAACGGCGCTCGAAAAGCGGCACTGCGCGACTTGGAACGCCTTCTTCACTTCCGGATTCGTCGGCTGCACTTGGTACGTGGCTTCATTGGCAGCGAGCACTGCTCGCCAGTGCGCAAGCTCGTCTGCCGCGCGCGTGACGCGGCCTCTCGCCTTGTCCATCTTCTTCTCGGCCCCCTGCACGTCCGCGACGCAGCGCTGGACAAAGTTGTACACGTCCTTCGCCCAGCGCCGCGACTTGCCCGAGTCCTCGAGCGGCTTCGTCATGTCCATGTACGCCTTACTGGCCGCCAAGTGCTTCGTGCCCAACACGTGGCTGTACGTGCGCATCTGCGCGAAAAAGTCCTGGAAACACGACTGCGCGACCTCTTGCGGCTGCAGCGCCGGCAGACAGGCGTCGCTCAAGTGCGTCTGCGCGACCATCTGCTGCGTGGCCGACGCGGCCTTGAGGTACTTGCGCAGCTGCTTGCGGACTTTGACGCCGCTGTCGACGCGCGCGCTGATGCGCACGAACGGCACGTGGCGGAACGACGGGACGCACGAGCAGTCGATGGGCGCGCGGGTCGGGCGCTGGCCCAACATGTACGGCGGCGCCGGCACGAGAGGCGTCGCCATGGGCTCGAGCAGACGGACGGACGACGTGTAGTGGCGGCGTGGAGGGAAAAAAGTGACGCTTCGGGTTGTTTTGTTGGGGCCGACCGACCGGCTCTGCCGCCAGGTGTTGTTGTGGCGGCGCTGGCGGAGGCTTAAAAAGCGAAAAGGAGCGCGAAAAAGCAGACTTGAGGGAAAGAAATAGAAACGGAGGAGAGGCGACGCGACGCTTGGCGCGGACAGAGCGAAAAGTAGCGAAAGACCACGTCACAGGCTTCAGAAGATGGGACCGATTCGTCACGAGCGTTGCGAAACCAGCACTGGATCTCTGGCTCGCTGCCTCGTTTGCCTGGGTGCTTTGCTTTTTCTTGCGAACGTGATACAAACGGTGTGTACGAGCAGCCAGCAGCAGCAGCAGCAACGTGGCCGTCTGTTCGACGAGAGAAGTATGGCATTGCTCGACGAACTCACGGGGAAACTGCGCGGAGTGCTCGGATAAGTACTCCCGACTCGAACGCTTGACGATATGCTTGCTGGGACAGGCCGTCTCGAAAATGAAAGGGCTGGACTTGCCGTAGCTGCTTACGTGATGAGCGCCAGCCAATACGAAGCAACACGCACGAGTGCGATGACCTTGAGAGACGAGAGCACATGGACGGCATCCAAGATGAAGGTGGCGGTGGCTTGATCCACGCCACAAAAAGTGCGGCAGGTCTTGGATCCATGTGTTTGGCTTAGTCGACAGTCTGCCACACGCACGACCAATACTATCCTCGCCCTCGAGAGTGGCAAGACTAACCAGTACTCTGCGTGTATATGTATCTCCCGCATCAATTATCGGATGCACAGCGAGAATCGCCATTACGAGACGAACATGCCACCGGTCTTTTGCTGAGAGATGCGGACTTGCGTGATGCCTGCTTCTGCCATCACGCGCAGTTTAGACCTGTCAGTTACAAACGGTACGATAAATAGGTACGCGCAAATGCGAATGTAAACTATCTGACATCGTGTTGCCATGCGACAAAAACACGGTCAGCGCACAATTGCAAAGGACTAAACCTGGAATGAAATACTCCCACACACATTTGAGCGGACCTAACCAGCTTCAGCGTCTCGCAAAAAGCGGACGTTTTCGTTGCCGTCACCTTAGCGCAACATCCTCAGGATTTACACACAAGGGGGAATCGAAAACGAAAAATCTTGCTGCCAGTAGCTCCGAGACGTCATGGTACGCGACTGCGGGCACGATCTACGCAATGCCGTGTACATACGTGCGCTCTGTACAACGGTCGCCTCGTCTAACTCCTTTGCTTCTCTCTCTCCTCTCGCTTTTCCCTGAGTAGTCCATCTTATCGTACAATGGCGCAGCGATCATTGCGATGGCGGGCAAAGATTGCGTCGGTATTGCATGGTACGCCTCTATTTAGTCATACAATGGTCGTTTTGCGTCTTTTTTGCGTGACTGATTTGTGTCAACGGACGCCTCCAGTGACACCAGACTAGGGCTGCAGGCGCAGACCGTGGCCATGGACTTCCAAAAGGTGTTTCGCGTGACGGACAAGACGTTTCTGGGCCTCGCGGGCTTGGCCACCGACGTCCAGTCCGTCTCGCAGCTGCTCAAGTTCAAGATCAACATGTACAAGATGAAGGAAGAGCGGGACATCAAGCCCAAGACACTGAGCGCGCTGCTGTCGAATATGATGTACGAGAAGAGGTTCGGTCCGTGGTTTGTCGAGCCCGTCATTGCTGGCTTGACCGAGAACAACGAGCCGTTCCTGTCCAGTATGGACTGCTTGGGCTGCGAGATGATGACCAAGGACTTTGTCGTGGCTGGAACGATGGAGGAGGCGCTGTACGGCATGTGCGAGTCCATGTACAAGCCCGACATGGAGGAGGAGGATCTCTTTGAGACGCTCTCGCAGTGTCTGTTGTCTGCTTGCAACCGTGACGCACTCTCTGGCTGGGGCGCTGTCGTGCACATCATTACACCCAAAGGTATCACGTCGAAGAAGTTGCTGGCACGCCAGGATTAGGCCGTGCGAGTAGAGGAGGTCGTGCCTGAGCGTTTTGCCGAGCGTCATGCTGCAATCACTCGTCTTGAGTGGAAGTAGTGGTGAAGTGGTAGATCAGCACAAGGCGTTGCCTTACGAAAGAGACCGCATGCTGCAAGTGAGAAAGTAAGTAAGCGGGACACCAATAAAGGCGTGACGACACCAATTATTGTAGTGGGTCACATTGTGATGACTACCACTGTCCTGTCTGTCTGGTCGAACATTTCGAGGTGCGTGACGTGGTGCACACCACCACTTCCCGCATCACCTGAGCTCATGGGTCGAAAGCGCGTCGAGGACGAGACGGACGCCGCGCTGCCGGCTCTGGACCCCCAGCCACAGCTGCCGTGGGGCATGGAGAAGACTGAGATGCAGCCGAGTTCCCTCACGTCTCTGACCGACGACAAGCTGGCGCGTTTCGTTCTAGGCCACCAGAAGAAGACCAAATTCCAAAAGGTGGGGACTGTTGGTACATGAAGAAGAGCGTATCACTCTCGTCGCTCACTTTGCTTACACACTATGTACGTACAGGAGCGAGAAGATCGTGAAGCCAAGAAGCGACGAGCGGACGAAGAAGCTGCTAAGATCTACGCGACGTTCGTAGCGTCGTTTGATAATGAAGGCGAGGCTCAAGGCAAGACGTTTGTGCGGTCCGCAGCAGCTCTGGGCGATGGCCAATCGACGCACGAGCATGGCGAGACGTACCGGCTCGAAGATAAAGAAGCTAAGGCGGGGTTAAGTGCTGTCTTCGCGGAAGAAAAAGAGCCGTTGAAAGTGTCGGAAATGGACCAAACGGGGCTCGAGCTTCAGTTTAAAGAAGCAGACAAGATGCAGCAGAGCGGGAAGGATCTGACACAAGTGCAGAAGCCCAAAAAGCGACGAGCGATTGATGAGTTTCTCGAAGAGATGAAGGAGCGCGGTCCGGCGCCTGTTTCGCTCGAGGGAACTGGCTTGGCGAAAGGATCGTTCGACGACGGAAACCCCGAGACGACGAATTTGTATGTGGGAAACCTAGCACCGTCAGTTACCGAGGAAGTATTGGAGGTTTGTTTTGACATGGTGATGTTGTTTGGGAAGAAAGTGATATATGGTCTGATAGCTGCTGCGTCTGATTGTCGTACTTGCAGGCAGAGTTTGGCCGGTATGGAGACGTGTACTCGGTGAAAATCATGTGGCCTCGATCAGAAGAAGAACGTGCTCGTAAACGCAACTGCGGCTTTGTCAGCTTTTACGAGCGACGTGACGCTGACGACGCACGCGTCAATCTGGACAATAAGGAGGTGCGTATAGTGCCCGTTGCTCGCCATCTGCATTTCTCTGACGTGTTACTGGTCCACCCGTGCAGTTAGAGGGTCAGCCTATGATTGTTGGATGGGGAAAAGCGGTTGCAATCCAGCCTCGGAAACACGCGCTTGAAGTTCCTCTTCCACCTGTAGTAGCCCTTCCATCCGCCACTAACACGACAGCGGTGTCTGCTGTGAAGCAAACGGTAGCGGCCCAGCAGACGATAACGGTCGAAATGCCGACCGAAGAAACAAGGTGGCGCGTGGATCACCTTGCGCGGTACGTTGCGACCGATGGACTTCAGTTTGAAAATGCGGTACGCACGCGTGAAGCAAACAACAGGGACTACGCTTTCTTGTTTGACCATCAGTGTACTACCGCGTTGTATTATCGGTGGCGAGTTTACTCGTTTGCGATGGGGGATGATGAAACTTCATGGCGCGAAACGCCGTTTCAAATGACCACAGAAGGCCCTGTGTGGGTACCACCGAAAATGCCTCCTCGAGCATATCGAAGCAGAAGTCGCGGATCCGCGTCTCGGTCATCTGGACGGAGCCGCCACGGCACAAGCACGAGATCGTGTCGAAGAGACCGCAGTGAAAGTCGAAGTTACAGCCAGAGCAGATCGCGTAGTTCTAGTCCGAGCCCAAGCAGATCTCGGCAAAAGAAAAGCCGAAGTGGCAGCCGTCGTCGTCGTAGATCCTTCAGCTCTGACGAAGACCGCGGTTATCGGAGAAGTCGCAGGCGCAGTAGTAGAAGCAGAAGTCGCGGTCGCCGCAGTCGTTCGTGGTCATCTGATAACCCAAGTTCGCGAAAGAGTAGTCGGCGCACGCGCTCGCGGTCCCGTCGAAACGACAAGCGTCGAGATGAAAAGAGTCATGAACGGAGTCGACGGAAGAGGCGTGAAGAGGGTTTGAGAGGACAGGAAGGCGATTGCGTGGCTAAGAACGAAAACTTGCTGACTGGACAACAGATCGCACGCGCGCGCGACGTGGCAAGGGGTCGAGAACGGAACAGACTGTCTGACGAAGATCACGGTGACTTCACGAAACTGCTGGACGAATTAACATTGGAGAGAGACTCTGTAAAAAGAGCGATGGGCTTTGCTTTGGACAAATCTGAAGCAGCGGTGGACTTGGTGGGCATAATCATGAAATCCTTCACGAGTTCATCGTCGAGTGGAGTCGCTCTCGTTGGCCTTTTGTATGTGACGTCCGACATCTTGCACAACAGTTCGGCTGCTGTGAAGAATGCGTCCCTCTTTCGCACGACGTTCCAAGAATGCCTGCCAGAGGTGATGCACAAGCTGCGTTGTGTGCACAAGAACATCGGTGGTCGCATGTCCGCAAATGCGATGAAGGAAAAGGTGATGAATGTGCTGTCTGCGTGGGAGAGCTGGAGTCTGTTTCCCCCAGCGGTGCTTTTAGGTCTTCATGCTACATTTCTACGAAAAACGGAAGAAGAGGAGTACCTTGCTGCGCGCAATCTAAACGTCGAAGGCATCGGGGAGGCGGATCTAGAGCGATTGCGGAAAACGTGCCGACAATCGGGAGTTCTAAGCACGGGAGACGCAAAGCAGCTAGTAGCTCGTCTACAGTGGCTCAAGGAATTTACTTCGCCGACCACGTCAATTGATCCGGGGCAGGCAGTAGCAACAAAAAAGCTCAGCGCACATTCGAGCGACGAAGTCGTCACGCTGGGCGTGTCTATGAGTCGCGCAGATACTGCAATCGCAAGAAGAATGGAGGGAGTGGATAGAGAGACAGCTGAGGTTGACGGGAAAGTAAGTGATGAAGTGGCGGTCGGCGGAGAAGTTCTCGTCGATGGAGGGCGCACGGTGGACGGTAGAGCCCGTGTTGACGGCAATCCGATGGATGCAGAAGAGCTAGATGGTGAACCGTTCGATGAGGATGTAGATGAAGGCAAGTTAGCAGACGAAGACGATCTAGATGGCAAACCGTTGGACGAAGACGCGGATGAAGGCGAGCCGGTAAGCGAAGAAGATCTAGATGGCGAACCGCTAGATGAAGACGCAGATGTGGGTGAGCCAGTGGATGAAGCAGATCCAGATGGTGAGCCGCTAGATGTAGATGTAGGCGGACCGGATAGCGAATTGTTTGGTGGAGACGCGAACGAAGTCGAGCTGGACGGGGAGCCGCTGGATAGTGACGATTTGGATGGGGTCCCGATGGACGAAGATTTGGACGCGGGGTCTACGTAGACAACCGCATTCATCTTTGAGCAACTCTGATCCGATTGCTTGGTGCATTGACAGTTTCATTGGTATTATAATCACTGTGTCGCTTTTGCTATTCTGACCATTCACGTGAATTTGTACCTCTACGTTTCGTTGTTTCGTTCTGCTGTTCACTGTTCTGAGCAAGGATTCGTAACATGTTGAAGTAGCCAGAGTTGGTTGTTGTAAACAAATGGCTCGACATCTCGGCAGGCACTCCTGAGTTGGCGGTTTTGGCCAGTGAAACGATCGCCATTCCCGTCGAAGTGAAGCGTCTCGTGCTGCTGGATGTCTGTTAACTGAGCGCTCGACTTTTGTCAGTGCTACAATTTTGAGCACGACGGGACGGATCTTGCTCGGGCGGGAGCTGCTGCCTACTGCAAAACACGTTTTTGGTTGGGCCTCGCAGGTCGTTCAGCTGCCCTGCCGGTTTGGTGTAGATGCCACGTGCCGTTCGCCACCATATAGGGCCCCGGCCTCCCTCAGTCAGCACGATTTGCACTTGCAACTGACCAACTGCCAAACTTCAAACAGTTTCGACGTACGTATCGGATCAGACGGATGCAAAGAGGCTGAGCATGCGGAGAAAGTGACGGTGGGACGAGATGACATCGGTAGACCTTCCGCCAGTACAAACGCATTAGCTGTAAACATGGACGGATGAAACACAACAACGTCTCTCCTGCTGACGTGAATGTTTCCCAGCGGTCCCAACTGCAGCCATGGCCGCCGTGTGTGCAAATGAAGCCAATCCGAGATGGACTTTTCTGCTGTAGTTTGCTTGCGGTCTTGCAGCTGCCACTCCACCACTGCTTAGGAGAAAGTGCATCATCAAGAATCCGGGAGATGTAGCCACAAAATGTCTCATGCTCTGAAGCGCACGTGCGTAGCGATCGCATATGCAGATGACTTTGTGGATTTTGCAAAGCGCAAAGAAAGTGAGCCGGCCATCGTGCGAAGGCACGTCCCTGTTGTGAGGGAGGGTGTGTGAGAGAGAGAAGAAGCCCAGTTTGTCTATTATCCGTTCTTTACGGTGCGCGAGACGTGAACACCGGATAACTCACGGTATGATCGTGGGTGTGTCCCAGTGGAAGCTGCAGAACCTCTACTAGTTTCACGCTCGGTTCAGCAACTCGGTGTATCCAAACAGCGTGGTGCCCACGCGTGGTGACGCTAAGTTCAATACATTCGCTCCGCAATGACTCGTAGTTGGCCTACGCAGGAAGCCCCGAAACCTGAGGATGCGGCCGTCAATACTCGACCATGGCTGCTCAATTAACAGCTGCATTCTCGTCTGCCCAGACCTTCGCTTGACACATCGTTGCGAGGATGGCGCACGTTGCGTTTTTGTATGCATTTCTCAGTCGTTGAAGCCCGATGGGCACCTTCAACGCGTGTCGCGATTGCACACGATTTTGCTTCTGCCTCGATGTGTCTGATCACGAGCATCGACGTCGCTTTCACTTGCTTTCCCATGAGCTGTCGATGGCTAAGCACCTTTCAATGTACATCTTCGTACACGACCCAAGTTGACACATTCTCGCGACTGCATAAGAGCTCAGAGACGCCGTCGCCACGACATTGTAAAGACGTGACATATCTCGCCGAACCTTCGCGCGGCTGCATCGTAGGCACGTGTGGCGCTCGCCGGCCGAAGTTGTCGCCCGCCGTTTCGTGTGCATTTCGTCCATCTCCTGCACCGTCTGGCAAGTGGGTTGTCAAGTTGCGCCGTCTTTTGCGAGGGAGCTTGATTTTTACCTGACCGACTCTCTCGGACGCCCCGTCCCCTGCCCCCGTCCGTCCGTCCGTCCGTCGTCCCACTTTCCCCCTCCGGCTGATTCCATAGACGGCGCGCGCAAACTTTTCGCCCTGATCCGGTCCTCACTTCGCACACCCACTCAGTCAGTCACTCACTCACTCACCCACTCACTGTGCTTGCGGGAGTATTAACTATCACGGGAGACGTCGTCCGAGTCGCACGGAAGACCGACAGATCGATCGACAGACAGACAGACAGACAGACAGACAGACAGACAGACAGACAGACAGACAGACAGACAGACAGACAGACAGACAGACAGACAGATAGATAGACAGACAAACAGACAGACCGCTCGACGCGATTGCACGAACGAACCCTCGAGTTACCCACGTCGCGATCGCTGACTTGTCGTCGTCCTATCAAACGAGAGAGCGCGCGAGACCGACATGAGCGCGAAGCGACAGTCTCTCACGACGCTGTGGCTCCTCCTGTGCGTCTTGACGCTCAGCGCCACGGCCCAGACGCCGAGCAACTCGTCCGCTTCAGGCCCCACCCGAGCGACGCCCGCGACAGCCGCAGCACCGGACGCGGACCTGCCGACGACGACGACAGCCGACCGCGCGACGGCGGAGACCGACTCGAACGCGCCTTTGGATGCGTCGCCGTCCGTGGGGAACCCCTCGACGCCGGCGCCGCCCACTGCGTCGGCCAACGCGCCGAGCGGCACGACCCGAACGCCCGACCCGAGTGCCGAACTGACGACTATCACGTCGGACACGTCGGAACCCGTAACGGGAGAGACGCCGAGAGAGACGCCGACGACACCGTCGACGAGAACGACACCGTCGACGAGTCCGACGACACCGTCGACGAGAACGCCACCGTCGACGAGAACGCCACCGACGACGACACCGACGGCGACACCAGCGCCCGCAACGCCCGTGGCGCCTGTTGCACCTGCGGCCGGCGCTTCGGGAAGTTCGCCGCTTCTGCCGCTCGGACCTGTAGATGGCGCAGCATCGACGCCGGTGGACTCGAGCCCAGCGCTGGACCCGTCGGAGATCTCGTCCGTGTACGGCACGTTGCCGCCCAGCGTCGAGGGCGGCGCGCCGGCGGACAACAGCGACCGCGAGAGCAACGCGTCGGCGACGTCCCCGGGGTGGGTCGTCCCGGTCGTCGTGGCCGCCGTTGTGCTGCTGGCGCTGCTCGTCATCACGTTCTACGTGCGCACGCGCAAGCGCGAGGAGCCGGACAACTTGGACCGCCCGAGCGAGCACTTCTTCGAGGCCCCGCGGTCCAACACGAACTACGCGAACGCTGCGGGCGGGACTGGTAGCGCCGCAGGGGGCGCCACGCCCGTGATCCGGGGGCGGATGACGGCGGACGAGCGGGCGCAGAAAGAGGCCGCGCTGGCCATGCGGAAGCCGTCGGGAGCACTGGCGGTCGCGCCCACTTCGGGACCGCCCAAGATGCCGACGAGGACGTTGTCGCACCCGCGTCAAGAGCCGGTGCGGGCGCCGGTGGAGCCGCAGTTTACGCTGCAGGAGGAGGTCGAGTTGGAGCGCTCGCAGCGCTCGATGCACGTGGCGAGTGCACGCCGCTCGCCACAGGCGGCAGTGAGCCCTGTGAGTCAGTCGTATGAGATGGACCCGTCGTTTGATATGGCGGCCGGTGCTTCAGTGCCAGGGGTGACGCTGTGATAGGGACACGGACAGGTGAAGAGGAGCTCACTCGCCGTCGCTCTGTGCGTGTGGTGGAAAGCGCAGTAACAGCCGATGAAGGGCGTTGTACATGTTCCTTTTGATTTGATACGTGACTGTCTGTCAGTCTGTCTGTCTGTCCTGCGCTGTGCTCGTGTTTCTTGCGCTGGTAGCGGTAGGGAACAGGCGAGTGAGTCGATACGACGTCGATGGCAGTCGTTGAGAAGACACTGCGACTGCAAACGCGTGTAGTCGGTGATGACGGTGCCACGATTTGGTTTAGGGTTGGCGTTAAATAATTGTGTTTATTGATTGTTAAGTGGATTACTTAATTGGCATGACGTCCGCGTGGCCTAATGGATAAGGCATCGCCCTCCGAAGGCGGGGATTGGGGGTTCGAGTCCCTTCGAGGACGCTTTTTATCTTTTCACAGAGCTCGAATTTAGAACGGGGCAAAAATCTGCTTTGTGTATGGCACTCATTATGCTTCGTCACCAATTACTGCGGCGCATTCGGCACAGCACTACTTATCAGCTCTTTTACCGAAGCAATGAGAATATCATCTGGTCAAGCAATATTTGCGTGTTCTCAGTATGGTTGCCGCTTGGCTAGATGTGATGTACGAGATAGCGTGTTGCCCCGACGTATCGACGCCAAGTTTATATGCAACGCAGGACCCATGCGCACTTTGCCGATTGCAATGGCAAGAGACACGGCTCTACCGCTCACGCATGTCTGGGCGCTGTAGCAATAACCCCGAATATAGCTGAGCTTCTGAACAGACGTTTTAGTCTCAAACTTATTTGTATCGCTTGCAAACGCCTACAATACTCTTTGTAGCTAGCGGGGTCAGTCTACCGTGCGCTTGGAACCGATAGCCGTATCTACACACAAAAGAAATATGAAAGTTGATTGGAGAAGAGTTGTGTTCAGCAAGGGTGGTCTGAACTTCAATCGAGTCGGACTGAAAATATCGCACGAGAATAGTTGCAATTTTTTATGAGAACTGAACCCCATTTCTAAGACAACACCGCGTCAAGAAGAAGTCACCGTATGTTGAAGATTGCTGGTTCATCCGCTCCCAATTTTTTTACATACGTGCACTGAGTAAAAGTGCCTCATTGTAAAAACACCTTGACTTCGCAGTTGAAGAGGACAATTCGGCTTTAAAAAGGTACATCTGTATGTCAATTGGAGGTATACGTGCAATCGAAGATGACACAAGCACATAACATCAAGCCTCCGACATGAAAGAAAGTGTCAACAACAACTCAAGTATCTAGGTTCCACACATATTTCATGCGACAACATATACAAGCACCTTGTGGGCACCTTATTTTATGTTACAAAGACATTGAACGAAAAAAGGAAAAAATGAAACCTAGGCGGGGGAAGCACTAGAGCTCCAACATCAACTACCTCCGGTCCGGTACACCTCGTTGGAATGTTATTAGCTCCGACTCTGGTGCACATTTCGAAACATGCTAGTCATCATGACTAGTTAAGATTCGACAAAACATATCAATTACTTACTCCTCATCGACTTCCAAAAGCACAGCCTTCACTACCATGAATCTGAAAGCATTAAGCACCAAATCAAATCAAAACTGCGATATGTATGCAAACTTCTAACGTGTTAGTGAGTGATGTTGCGGCGACATGTGCAGGATGTATATTGCATATTAGCTTAGTTGTATTGTTCTTTGGCACGATTATATTGTGGGATGTTAGTGAATTCGACGGAGCAACAGATTGGCTCAGTCTTTTGGGAAGGGGGGTTCCAATCGGGGGAGTGCGTGTTCGAGCCGTGTGCAAGTCAATTGTGACTGATACTCACGACCTGGTCTTTAAGGTTCACCAGAACTGCGACCCACCCGCAGTTACGTCCCCCACAACCACGCAATCGTTTTGATTCTGCATATGACGAAGCAGAGTTTTTACCAAAAGTATATTACGAGACGTAATTACCCAGTGATAGGTAAGCCGAAAAGCGGTGGAGACAGGGCACGAAATCGGTGGCTGAGAGTCACCGGCTTCTACCAGACATTCGTTTTTGGAGATAAGGACAACATAAATACAACTCACTTTTCGGTTTTCATCCCCGGCCGTAAGCCGTCTTCTTCTTCGCAAAAGCTCCATAGCCTAGTTAAATTCTAATAGTGTGTCATGGGCAACTACTTTGTAGTACAGCAGACCATTGCGACTTGTATATCGAACCAAAGACGAACGATATAGATCCGGGAAATCTGACAATGATTTCCGGGATGGGCTCGCAGGATGATCCATAAAACGGAAGATATTCGTATCTACTGCGCTTGCCTTCCGCACGTCTTCGAGTAAAGGCGACGACGGCACACTTACTAAAGCGCCGAAACAGTGGGCTTGTCTTCATTTTTGACGCGTGTAGTCGGCTCGAAATCGGGCCGACATGATAGCGCATCAGAAACGACTTTGAATCGTCCTGGTATGTACTCCGTGGATAAGTTGTACTCCGCAAAGAAAGACAACCACCTCGCCATTCGGGATGATAGGTGTTGACATTTTACGGTTGTGCGTAGTGACGCATGGTCCGTATAGACGATGAACGGTCAATCTCCCAAATGGTCGACGCGAAGATTAGCCAATACGTACTTCATGGTAAAGAGTTCCTTGTCATGGACTGGATAATTACGCTTATCTGGTTGTAGCTGACGCGACTGATAGCAGATGACGCACTCCGCGCCATTTGTGTCATACTGCATCAAAGCACAGCCGATTGCGTTATCGCTGGCGCCACAGACTACATGGATAGGTCTGTCCTGATCTGCAATCGCTAAGATGAGCGATTGCATCTAGCTTTTTCTGTACCTTCATAGGAACGTTGACAGTCAGCGTTCCATGACCATTTCACATTTGTCTTGAGCAAGAAAGAATATGCAAGATCATCTCGGCGTAGTTGCGCGAGTAATTGTGCAAGTACGCCGCTAATCCAACAAACGTCAGCAGTCTTTTGATATCGACTGGCACGGGCCAGTCAGTGATCGCTTTAATCTTCTCGGGATCAAGGCGTACGCCGTGTTTACACACGATGCATTCAAGACGTGGTATTTTGCTAGCCGCGAATATATACTTCTTGAGGTTGGCGTACAAATTATGTTTCCGCAAAAATTAAAGAACCTGGCGAATGTGAGTTCTGTGAACTTGAACGTATGTCTTCCCGTCCATAGCCCGGCTATGGACGGACACATCGTCAGAGTAACTCGGTGCGAAATATCGCACCGGTCTCAACAGATTTGTGACACATCTGTTGAATGTTGCAGGGGCATTACTCAGCCCCTGTGGCATCTCTAGTCACTCCCACAACATACCTCTGGAGGTGATCACTGCTGTGTACGTGATGTCCCGTTCAAGAGTAAGGATCTGATTGGAGCCATCCATCAGATCCATGGACGAGAATATGGTACTCGTCGACATAATATCTATGATTACGTCCTTCCTCAGAATCGGCGTCTGAGCCGGTACCGTTGCAGCATTCAACTTTTTAAGTGCGTGTATTATCCGACATCCCCCCTGTACCGTTACACACACAGAAGGTCGTAAAGCTGATAGGAGATGTTGATTTTCTCACATGGCCAGCGGGAAATCGATGGGCAAAGATCTTGTAGGTCAATAGTACCGTTTCACGAGGCAGTGACCACTAATCCATGACACAGTACTTCGAGCCCGGTTAGAGCTCGATCTCGCGTCAAGTGCCTTTGTCCTTAGGCGACTCGCAAGACACAGATTCAGAAAACACATACTTGAATTCGATCAAATCCTTATACAAAGAATTTGCCTGAAGCGAATACCAGGATTGAGACGTGTGTCGCTCAATCCGAGCCATCTCCTCGATGATACTGTCGTCCATCGATGAACTGCTAAGAACTCGTTCGGTTTCAGTAAACTCCATTGCTGACCAAATATTGATGACGTACTCGTCCTCCGCGACGAGTACAAATATCCGCTTGAATTTGTTACGACGCAGATCACAAAGTCCCATTTCGGTTCTAGTGTTGACGATTGAGTTATCTCCGAAGTTAACTTCGGAGGCGCAACCAGATCAAGTGTACACGCACCGATACTTGGTCCGTCATTCACCAAGACGTTTAACGTCTTGGTTTCTTCCTAGAAGATTGTTTCCACAGGTGGATGAGGGACTAATCCATCACCATGATACTATTAAGGAATTCCTTTCGAACGTGTGGATTTATTCCCCCAACGTCTTCTGACTGAGGCTGTGCAACCACAGTCAGGTCTCGATCCCTTAAGGTCAACATTCCAGTCGACCTAGGACGATCGTGTTGCCCTTATACGGCAACCAATTTCTTTCTTCGAGTATGTTGCCCGCTAGGCAGACATCCATGTTCCGGTCTACTCGAATTATTCGAGAGGTGAACCTTCGCCATTGCCTGTACTTCTGAATAGCCACCAGGAGCTTGCTCCACAGTGTAGTGATCAGCTACTATGATGTCTTGTGCAGTCGTGCGAATGACCGTACCGCAAGTGAGGCCATAGCACTCACTCGCAGTACATCCACACGCTTGTGGACGATCCAAGACGTTCATCAGATGACCACATGATGAAAAAGCGACAGGCATCTTCAAGAATCGATGCTGCCAGCTCACTCTTGTCTCGTACCTTCTGAGCCAAGGCAATCCTAGGATAACATTAAAATTTTCATCCGGATCCATTACGATGAAGTCATAATCGTACTGTTTGCCCTCCGACGTGTAGTGGATTCCTACTACACGTTTTTTAACGGTTACCCATACGCCTGTGGCCAGGAGCACCGTAATCCTGGTTAGGAGGATGTCGCGCTCAACAAAATTGAGCCTACGATACTCTAGTGACTGGCGACGAACAAAGTTGTTCGACGCCCCACAGTCAACGAGAGCACGAAGTGACATATTATTTGTCACTTCTGACTTCAAGGTGATGAGTGACATCTCATCACAAGGTGCAGAAACACACAACGACTGTGT